AAATCAATAAACATATGCTCAGGTGAGGCTCAAGAAAAAAAAAAAAAAGAAAGAAAATGTTCATGGGTGAGAGAGGCTTATGAATAAAATAGTTATAAGGACCATGTGGTCCTTATGGTTATCATTATTTGGAAATTGTTATAGAAACCAAAATTAAAAAGAAAAAAGACAATTGTATATCGTAAATATATTTTATTTTAAAATAAAAATTGTCTAAAGGTAGTCACTATTTTCAATGTATTTTTTCTTTCAAAAGACTATTTTCATTTTGAATAAAGAATATAAGGCTTAGTGTTAAAGAACCAGCCCTTGTCCCACTCTCAGCTATGTTCCTGCACCCCAGAGCATCATGTTTGTCTAAGTAGCAGGATTATGCGCCTTGTTCCTTGGGTTTCCAGGGCGAGGCATTACTCACTGATAGGGAACTGTGGGACTTGCATGGGGAGCTAGGCCTCCTCTTTTTCTCTGAGTAGTCATGTTTCTCCTCTTGGCTCAGTCTATTTTAAGTGTTCAGCATTTGGATAGCTGTGACAATGTAAATATTAGTTTTCTGTGCATATTATCTCATTTATTCCTAAATTCCCTTCCAGCAATATATATCTGAAAACATGGGAACCTATCAGATAGGTAATTTTCTTGGCAACATCCCTCCTGGCCCCTCACTTTCCTGCTCTATCCAGGACTGGCTGCTGCCAGGCTCAGGGCCCAGCTGCCCTCTGGTTTCCTTCCCCATCATTTGGGGCCTCCCTTTCCTTCTCACCTGCTTTGAGTCCCCCTGTCTTTCTTGGTTCATCTCTCATTTGGGGAGATGTCTCCAATAGCTTCCTGATAAAGAGTGTCTGTACCTGTGGATCTGACAAGGTCTTCATTCTGGTCTCCTATGGTTGTTGGCAAGCGTAAAATCTCAGATTGGAAAGCAGTGCCCTCCATTTGGAAATACATGACATCCAGGGCTCACCTTCTTGAGGGCATTCTGGTTTCCTGACCTGTGCTGTTTCTCTCTAACACCTTCTAGAGTCGATGCTTCATTCTCGTTCTCAGGTTTGAAAATGTGCCTTGGTGTGTGTCTTGCCTCTGTTTTCTGTCTTCTGGAACTGATTATTCAGATGTTAGGCCTCGTGGATGCATCTGCTGATTTTTCTCACCTTTCATTTTTCATGTCTCTGTCTTTTGTGATGTATTCTCTGGGAGATTTTTCAACCTTCGAATCTGTCTGATATTTTATCTGTTGTATTTTTAACTTCTGAGTTTCCTTTCTTGTTCTCTGAATGTTCCATTCTGACCTGTTCTTGTTTCATAGATGCAGTGTCTTCTTTATCTCACTACCTACATTTGCCACAGTTTTTTTTCCTTCGGTTCTCTGCATTGACTTCTCTTTGATTTTACTTTTTAAAATCTTTAAGAAATGAATTATTTAATATATGTAAAACAATTGTATGTAGAACATTTTGGTTATAAAGAATAATAATGTAACTAGTACTCCCCTCAGCCCAACCTCAACCTAAGAACCAGAATGTTACCAATAATTTGCATTAGCCTATATTCCTCTCACCCTACCCTGCCTCCCCATTTTTCCGCTTCCCTATCCAGGACAGGTAACTATTGTCCTAAATTTTGTATTTATTGTGTCATAGCCTTAAAATAATGTTTTTATCACAGTTGTATACAGGGTGGAGTATGAAAAAGAATACAACAATAAATAATAATACAAGAATAAGGTCTGTTTTGTATACTCACAACTGTAAACCTACTTTTGCCCCATCCTGTATATGCTTAAATGCCATATTATTTACTCTTGCTTGGTTTTTATCTCTATAAAAACGATATTATCATTCTGTGTAGACTTCCACAACTTGCTTTTTTGACTCAATTTTTGTTATAGAGATTCATCTATGATGTTGTAGTAAACCTGATCTCTATTATCTCTGATATTGATGCCCAGTTGTGTGACTAGACCAATTTTATTTATCTTTTCTCCTGTTGGTTTGTTTGTTCTTTTTTTCTCTTTTTGTTTTAGTTCCATTTACAGGTTTCCTTTAAATGCTGACATTTAATTGTTTGTCCATGTCTAATAGCATGCTTATATGGAAGGTGTGTGTGTGTGTGTGTATGTGTGTGTGATGTTTTTGGGGGACAATCTATTAATGGCCTTCACTGTAAGTGATCAGTCCAGTGTTTTCTTGAGGGGAGTCCCCCAGGTGTCAGTAATTGTGGCTCTTTTCTCTTGGTCTGACAGTTTCTCTAGTGAGAAGCCCTCAGTTTCCCTGCTGGTAGGAGCTGTATGACCACGTATCTTCTAGGAGCCAGGCTAGGGAAGGTCACTCAGTGCCCTGCATATGACTTAGAGAAACCCCATGTTCTGTCTACCATGGGGGAGGGGGTACCTTGGCTGCAAGAGGTAGGGGAGGACTGTGACTGCTCCTGTTACTGGCATTTTGCTTACTTTGCATTCCCGCCCCCCCTCCCCCACCTTCTGAAGTCCCTGTTGTTCCTCCTTTCTGAGCCTTTCTAAATTCTGTGGCATGAATTAGCTGGCTGTGTGTGGGTGTCCCATCTTGAGGCTGGGCTATGAGCCTCTGATCTGTGAACGCTGCTATGGCTGGTGCAGCAGCTTTCTAGCTTCTAAGATTTAGTGGGCTTTTCCTTTGCTTTACCCTTATTTTTCTCTTTCTCCTGTGAGTTTAGGCTTTGCTGTTCTGGAGGGAGCAAAACTCGAAGTCACACATTTTTAAAATGCCTAAATTTATGTATGGGGTAAGGCTATATATGATGACACCGGTTTTATAACTAACACATTAGTTTTGCCTTTCAAAGCAATCTTTTGGGAGCTCCTTCCAACCAGGCTGCCAGTGAATGACACATGATTAACACATGTTGGGATCATCTTCAGAGTAACTTCATGAAACACCAAGAACACTGGTCTCATTGGTGTGGGAAGCTTGATTGTGATGGGAAGAAGAAACAGCATGGGCTTTGGAACTTGAGACCTGTGTACAAATGCTGTTTCCATCACTGAGTGGTTGGATGTCTCCACTCGCTCATCTGCAAAAGGTGAGACTTTCCTAACTGGTTTGTTAAAAACACACAATGAGGGAATAGATGTGAGGTGCCTGTGGGTAGCTGCTCTGTAATGGGAGCTATTATTAACCGTAACATCTTTGGACTAAGAAATGACCCCCATCTCACATTTATGTGGTACCTCATTCTCAATAGTGGTTCTCCCACCTATTTTTACTCTCTCTCAAAGGACTAAAAACAGACAACTTGGATTGCAATGATCTGCTATAATGGTTACATACCTCCCACTCTGTTATTTTATCTCCTGCCCTCTTGCTTGCTATCTTCCCCAACACTTTGAGGTCTAATTTCCTGCCTCAGAACTCACTCTTCTCCCCTTGTGCAGGGTGAACCCTGTCCCTTGGAGCCTGCACCTGAGGCCGTGCCTCCCTGAGAAACCATCTCTGCCTGCCCAGTCCCAGGAGCTGTAACTTCTCTGAAACCCCACAGCCTTCGCAGCAGCCTGTGTCCTCTGGGGCTTCTGAATCCCATTAATCTGGCCTGGTGGTCTTGCCTGCCAGGGGCCATCCTGGGCTGAGGGACCACACCTGCTGCATGTGGTCTCTCTTCACCATAGTGTCTGGCTACTTCTCATCGAGAAATAGCAAACAGGGCTTGGGATTTTACCTGAGTTTACAGGTGGCACAGTAGGAGAGTCATCAGGGTTTTGCAGGTAGTTTTATCACTTGGTCACAACATTCAGTCTGGCACTCTTTCTGTGTTCTCCCCTTGTGTTAAGAAACAGCTTGGGTCAGCTGGAAGTGTGCAAGTAAGGCATGCTGTAGTCTTCACTGATGTGTACTGACCAGAATGTTATTCCACAGTTGCGGTGTTTACTTCATTAGCATTGTGTCTTCATCCATTCTCCTCCCTAACCTTAATTGTTTCTCTGAGCTGGTGTTTTCCATTCTGTAATTGAAGGCTCTAAAAATGGGCCTGTCACGAAGTCTGGTGGATGTGGAAATGAAGCGGGCTTCACAGAGAGATGGCACGAGCAGACGGGTTTTGTTCCCCCTCGATGGAAACCCCAGAGGGCTGTGCCGCTCCCAGCCAGGACAGACACAGCGACGCAATCTATTTCCTGCAGGCCTGAAGGAATGCTTCCTCCTTGTGGTTAGTGACTTCAAAAGCTGCCCCAGTTAGACGAAGTTCAACTGTTCCTCCAATTCTGACAGCGCTGGGGCAGCCAGTCGCTGCTGTGCCACTGTTGCTTGTGCATTTGAGGAAAAACCTCCTCTTGACCCCCATGAGGTGTCTACAAGGTTTCCTCTTCTCTCTGGTTCCCTCTTCATCATTAAATGAAACTGCTTTCTTGAAGCCAAATTAATTCTGTGATCCCTCCCTGGGCCTCATCCTCACTGACCTGTCTGTGTAACCTCTTTCTGCTGCTTGCTGCCACCTCCTGGACTCCCATAAGTGCCAGCCATACCAGGCCCCTGGGTGTTTGAGCCCTGCGCCCTCAGTCACACTGCTGTAGAGCAGACTCACTCTGTGCCTTCTGCCTGGAGCACACTCCCTCTCCATCCTTGTCCCTCGGCCTCTGAAGTCTTGCCCAGTTCAAGTTCCTGTTTCTGTGTGAAGGAAGCCCTTCAGATCCCCTCCAGCTATGGAATCTGCCCTCCTCTGAACCCCTGGCTCACACTAGGCCTGCCCTATATTTCTGCCCTCACCGCACCTAGTATTTCAGTCATCTGGGTCCTGGTTTTGTCCCTCTTCCAGGTGGTCAGCTTATCAGCACAGGGATTGTACTTGAATCTTGAAACTCCAGCACCTCCCACAGTGCCTTGCATATAATAGGAATAGCATTCAATAAATGTCATATTTTTAAAATATCTGTAGAAATAAAAAGAAATGCTTTTTTTAAGGAGTCAAAATGCATGGCTTTCATCCACTTTCAATACATAAAAGATGTTTTCAGCACAGAAAGGCCTTTCACCACTCTGACTTAGTAGTCGGCTTTTGGAATGATGTGGACTAGAATGAAAAATGAGGATGAGCGCCTCTGAAATCAGCTGTTTTGAATTAAAGCCAAATGAGGTTGGACTCAGGTGAAGCAAGAGGATAGGATTTAACCAGTTGAGGATTAATATGCTGGGCTCCTTTAAACTCTGAGGATTGTTTCCCCATAAACGAGCAGGAAGGGGTGGACAGAGCTTTTCTGGCCCCCCCTCTGCCCTTACAAGGCTGGTGTGGCCCCCCTTACCTTGACTTAGCTCAGAATGACTTAGCCCTCCTGTGGCTTTGCATACTTGCAAGGAGGTTTTATTTTATTTTATTTTTCTTAGCTGTTCTTCTGGTGATTTTCGGAGATCATCTTCTTCAGGTTTACTTAACAGTAAGCATGCCGAGGCCAGGGAATGGATTGTCCTCACAGTGAGGTTGCATGAGCCCACTCGGAACCCTGGCTGCTCCATGGACGCCTTACTGACATTGAGTGAATGTGTGGCCACCAGTGCTCTCAGTTTGCCTGCTTGCTCCTCATTGATCATGTGGCTTGGATATTCTGCGTACAGCAGCGCCCCAGCCACTATGCAGTAGCCAGCTTTGCAGAGAGATTGTATATTCAGCTAGCCACGTGAAAGCTGACTAAAACTGAATGTGAAGCAAATCCTACCAAGTCCTTACAAGACATGCTGAACCGACCTCTATCCTAATGGGGTCATGGGGGCCCTAGTCTATGAGGGAAGTGGAGGTGATTTTCCTGTGCCCGAGGCAAGTACTGTTTATGAACTTCACCAACAGATGAGGGGTTCTGGTTTTCATTCTGGCTGTGGACGAGACGAATGTTTGGCCAGCTGATGGAACTAACCATGGTTAATTTTGTTTGATTGTAATGAATCGTATGGACATTGGGGCAGCTGAATTTGTTCCCATATGTTTTCTCTGGTTAGCCTTGTCCCTTTTGGGCTGTGGGCAGGTGGGCACGTGGGCACTGGGTGCTGGCAGTTCTTACAGGAGCTCAATTGTTCTCCTTGGAGCCATCTATTCCTTGGGCTCTGCCTGGACAGTCACTCAAGGCCATTCCAGATAGTTGGTTCAATACAGATCACATCACCCATCAATGACCCCAGGCTGAGAGGTTTAACAATGCTGAGAGCACAGCCCAGGCGCTCTGCTCAGCACAGTGCTGATGCCAGAACAAATAGTATTTTGAAAATCAGACACTGTATTTCATTTGTTACTGAGGAGTAGGGCTCATTATCAGGGAGCTTGATTAAAAAAAATGTGATATCTAGATTCCTCAAGGTTATGACAAAGCTAAAGCAGCTTGTAACCAAGCAAATAGACAAAAATGTTGCAATAAGCGTTTTCAGTTTCTGTTTTGGGGGATGTTGGTGAGGGTTCCATCGTAGCCACTAATTTTGGTTTGCTTTACTTCCTTCAGGTCTCTCAGCTCAGAGGTCCCCTTCCTACCCCATATGAAATAGCACCTGCTCCCGGCCACTCTCGCCCCTCTCCCAGACTTTTTTCAGTGACTTATCACATGAGCCACTATAAAGCTGTCCTCCCCTACCCCTTACGTGAACTGTGGTGCCTTAATATAAGGTACACTTTTTGCCTTTAGAATGGGAATGGCTTTTTAATCACCAGAACGCCTTCCTATTTATTCATAAATTGTGAAAACCAGAGCACTAATACTTTTTTGTCGTTGAAGAAATCCAGTAACATTAAGCTTTCTAGATTCAAAGTAGGTCAGATGGCTAATGATTGAAAATGGATTGGCATCCAGAGTGTCTTTGGAAATGTAAAGCTAGACTCGAGGCTGTAATTTTGTTTATCCTCTTTGTCATTAAAGTGACTCCAGTGGAAGCTGACTTGCAGTTGCTGAGCCAGGGGTTAAGGGCAGAGCTGCAGTGAAACTAAGTTGAGGCCTTCTTCCCTCCACCTGACCTGGGGGTGAGGGGGTTTATGATTAACTCAGCAATGTTTTAAATGCAATTTCTGGGGGCTGAAAACATTAACTTTTAAAAAATGATTTAAAATTACCAATTGACCATATCCGGGGCTGAACCTGCATGATTCAGCTCCTTTTAAAAATATCTTTTCTCAACAAATTGCTTCCTTAACATTTTAATTTGTTGATCATAAAGGAAGCTTGCCAAATATTAGCCGTTCTTTTCCATTTCCTACAGCTTCAAGCTTTCCTTATTTGGCATATTTCAGTGGAACTGTAAGGTCACTCCCTATTTTTCTTCCCAAATAACTATATTTATTACTGTCAAGTATTGGCGGGTTTGATCCAGCTGTCATCAGAATGTTTGGAAATATTGTTTTTTTGCCAGAATGCTGATTTAATGATCTAATACTGACATGGCTTGTTTTCTCTGCTGACATGATAACTTGTTCAATAAGCCCCCCTCCTAGTGAGCCACACTGCTCTTCTTTTGCCCCCTGCCTTAGCTTTATAGTGTCTTAAAGACAGTAGTGGAAGGTTGCTTTTTTTCCTCCTTCCTTCCCTCCTACTTTCTCTCTCTCTCTCTCCTTCCTCATAATCTTTTTTTTCCTTTTTATTTTTTTTGGAGGGGAGAAGACCTATATGGTAATAAAGACTTCTTGAAGAAGCTAGCATTGCTGCTGCTTGGTATCTTGAAAAGCACTTAAGAAGAAATTTTCCTTATGAAATATTTCAAACATACATCAAAGTAGAGAGATGGCTGTAACAACCCCCCATGTACCATCACCAGCTTTACCAGTTAACAGCTCATGGCCAGTCTAGTTTCATCTCTACCCCAACTTGCTTCTGGAATTTTGAAAAAGACATCATATTTTATTAATAAATATTACAATATCCTATATAATAAAAGCCTAATATGCAAATTGTCCCCTCGGGCCTCATTTGACCCAGAGACCTGGCATTTGACTGCCTGCTATGATGTGCACTGACCACCAGGGGGCGGTGTGAAACATGGTGGGCATCGGCAACGTGGTGCTGGTAGTGGGCGGCAGTGGAGACGCTGCCAGCCCCTATGGGCCCTGATGAGAGTGGGACCGTG